ACCCCCCCGCATGCATGCCAGAGCATGGCACATGAAAGCATTTTGCTTGGCATGTGTGCCTCAGGGCAGATGGTGGTATTGCCACAACAAGGATCAGCTTCTTTGTGGCTCCTGTGCAATCTGCCCCGGCATATGGGGATTTTGGTATTGATATTCTACAGCAATATTAACATTAATTACACAAGAATTGAAAATTATTATTAGATTATGAAAGAATCCCTCCATACCACCAGGTGCTGGTGCTTCAGTTAAGAAGCTCCTTAAATCAAGAAAACACAGTGTTTATTTTGCCATAGCTGCCTATAAATCCAAAGGGGAGATGTAAACATATATACACTAGACTAAACAATGGCTAAATAGCGGCCACTATTCACTCTCCCACTCACACATACCATACAAGTCTGTGGGAAAAACTTACGATTGAAGCTAAGGAACTCAAGTAAAGTTTTCTGAAAATAACCCAGAGCTGACAAGTCAGTAGGAGGGCCTGGATGGTTTCAAGACACAGTTTTTAACCAAGACTTGGACCTCCAACTGTTTTTTTAAACAAAGATTTACGTCCCATCCTTGGCTAAATTACTTATAAATTAATCACATTAATTACTGAGTGGATAAGCAGGATGCTGGACAAGATAGAGCCAATGTCAGCCAATAAGGCCTGTGTTACTTTAAACAAATGCATCAGTTATGCTTTGAACAAATCCATAGGATATAAATATGGTAAAAGACTTAAAATCTACTATAAACCTACTATAAAATCTCTTCTCCCAAAATATGTATAATTTTGCCTAAACAGTGAGGATTTCTTTGCACGTGAGCCATAATAAAGTATGTACGTGCTTGATCTCTGCAGGATTTAGGTCTAAGTTCAAAGACTGACTTTTAAAAAAGTTTAAATATAAAAGAAAAAAAAACCATGCAAGTGTATATATGTGCAAAGAAATTACAGTAGATACCTTAAAAAAAAGGGGGCACTGAGAATAGGGAAGTCACCTGTTCTCAGGCTTGATGACAAAGCTCATGAATCTTCAAACTAATTTTAAAACTCAGCTTTACAAACCATGGTTGAATTCCACAAAACACTGCATTTATTGTAACTACCAATAAGCTTGAGTGGCAAACGTCAGGATGTATTCATGCCTTTACCTGGTTATAGCTGATACTTCATTTTAGTATCTAAAAATTCCAGACAGAGAAAAATTAGTAACTTTTCTTCTAAAGTCCACACAACTTACTTTCAAAAGCTGCAATGTATGCACTGCATTTTTATAGAATACCAAACTATCACAGATCTGTTCCAACATAGCTAGTTCCCAAGTAAAAGGGAACTTTATAATTAAGGAAACATTGACTTTTATGGTTACAAATCAGAAGAAAAAGCACATTTTGCTAAATGCTTAGCTTGTAGATTATGCTTCTTTAATTCACAAATTGACTGTACTAGGTCACCTTTGAGTAATGGAAATCTCTATTTAAACATTTTTTTGGCAATGGGCACAAAGCATTAGATCTCATTTCCAAGACTTACCAGCTGGGTTTCGTCATTAACATTTATTAACAATTTAAGATACGGCTTTCAACGTCTAATCCTCACTACACAAATGTTTTGTATAGTCCTCCAGAGGGCTTTGGTGTGACAAATTACTGGCATAGATTACAACCCTGTGGCTATTCACCAGAGGCAATACAAAATTAACATTGTACTAATCCAATTTAAACAAGAAATTGGACAAACTGTGCATTTGCACAAATCATCTGAACTAAAGCTGATCTAGAATTCCTGGAGGCAACTAAGGTTCCAAATTTACATTCAAAACATAGTAAATGGGTTCCTGATCATTTTCCTTTTTTATATTTTAAATTAGGTTGAAATGCTACCTTGTTCATCCTCTATCTATTCAACTGAAATATATGACTTCATAACAGTACGAGTACACAGAAGTCTCAACCTAGGTTTAAAAGGGACTGTTTTTAAGGATAAAGTGGTAGGGAGCATAATTCAGTCTTCATATCAACTTATTTATTGGTTCAGATGTTTACTAAGGGGGTCAGCCTGCCCTGAACTGGGACCAATCAAATTACCTTGGATGCCTGTTTCATCAGTACTGATCTGGCATGTATTTGACCTAGTAATATAAAAGGTGAGACGTATTTAATAGTAAGTAGCAAGGTATGGATACCCTGCTTTATTCTACAAGTTAGTTTTTTTTTTAAAACAACTAATTCATTAAGGAAAAAAACACACATTATACTGGACATTTTGAGGTCTCCTTTGGGAAGTTTTAGCTTTTGATGCAAGCCTGGCGAGTTCTTCATTAGATCATCCTGTTGTGCACAAATATTTAAGAAATATTATAGGCTATTTTTGACCCCTGACAATTACTAACAAAAAAGACCAAAGACAAAGAGGAAAAATGAGGACAGCATAGAAAAATAAAAGCTCAGTTTTATAACTTTTATTACCTAGAGATGTTTCCTTTTTTTACTCTTTAAGTTGTAAAGGAAAAGATTAATTTCCAAACTTAAACTTGAATATTATATTTATCTACAGCTTTGAACAGTGACACTGCTAAAGCATTTCTGTCCCTCCCTTCATTATTAGCACCATTCCTTCCAAGAGACTAGCAAGGTCCTCTGAGTAGGGATGTAAATATTGTTTTAAAAAAATATTCATTCCACCTCCTCGAATGATATTGGTTAAATGATTAACCCAGAACAGAGCAACTTCTCAGCTCCTGAAGTCCTTTGACTGGAGGAAGAAGGGAAGGAGGCAAGCCCAGTCAGACAATGCAGCACACCTGAAGCCCTAGGCTGAAAGGCAGGGAGCACCTGTGACCAAGCAGCTAATTGCTTAATTCACAAGTCATTAGGCAGTTGGCTGTTTTCCTCTTAAATTATGGGTATTAGTCCCTTTTGCCCCCCCCCACCTCCCCCCAGCTCCTCCCTCCTGCTTTCTGATTTCT